CAGTTTTCATAGAAACTATAATCTTCAAATGCAGGACTGTGGATCTCACTTAATGTTGCTTAAGTGGAGCAAAGAAAATGGGGATTATCAGTAGGAATGGATTTGAGACGGTCCCCAGGGCAGCCTGATGACAAAGTGTTCTCATAATGAGAGCACCATGCCTGTAAGCACTTCTTCCCTTCATTTCACAATCCTTCACCAAGCGTTTTTGGAACCCTCACCCCCTTGTTTGACACTGGAAAAACAAAGGTGAGGAGAAGACTCCATATTGCCAGTCATGGGACAGGGCCATCACCTGATGGCACAGTCTCAGAAAACAATCACAGTGCTGTTAAGGTCTAGTGAAGGAAGCTACTCTCTCAGCTTTGATGTTCTTTTAGATTAAATCCATCGTGGAACTGTTTTTTTCATTTTAAACTGATTTTTATTGAATGGCAATGAAATAAGAAGTAAAATTGCCCAGTTAAATTAATTTCCATTTTGGTTATTCCATGACTTCGAGGAAAAGATGTTTTAATGTAGTACTGGGGCAGGTGTGTAGTACAGGGTGAGAGGGAACTCATGCCCAGGCAGCCAGGTGCACAGCCATGGACAGRTGCTGCCCACCTGTTCAGGGCTGGACACTAAGGTGACCAGTGAAACTTCAAATGGAGTCAAGAATATAAAGTGCATGCATACTTACAATTGGTTAAATAGTCAAAATAGGCATTTGAGTAAYGAATCCTGTGTGTTATAGGAGAAAAAAATAATTTGCAAGAATTGAGGTGACTGTTGCAATGTTGTACTTGTTCTTGAATCTAATGGTTCTCCAAAGCACATATTTCAGCAAGTTAGAAGGTGATAAATATAGTTATCTAGTGGCATTTTGATTTCATACTGCTTTCAGTAAAAAATTATTTTAAAATTTTTTTAGTTGTAAGTGGACATGATACCTTTATTTTGTTTATTTATTTTTATGTGGTGCTGAGGATTGAACCCAGGGCCTCACAGGAGCAAGGCAAGCACTCTACTGCTAAGCCACAACCCCAGTCCCTCAGTAAAATATTTTTAAGCACGTTCTAATATGCTTACATATTTATTCTCATATACATGTTGATAACCAATACATATATATTTGGTTTTATAATCAACATTTAGTATATTATAGAAACGTATAAAATTATATGCATGTCCAATTTTATTTGTGTACATCTTCAAGCATATATTAAATATAAATTTTAAAATAATGTGTTAGTACAGGCTGCTATAACAAATTACCATAATCYGTGTTACTTAAAATAATAAGCATTTATTTCACATAGTTCTGGAGGCTGAGAGTTCGAGATCAGGATAACAGCAGATCCAATGGTAGGTGATGGCCTATTTCTTGGTTTGAAGATGGCCATCTTCTCAGGTTCTCACAGTTGGAAAGTACAGAGTGAGCGAGTTCTCATGTTTCTTCCTATAAAGGCACTAATCCCATCAAAGAGGGCTCCACCTTAATGATCCAATCACCTTCCAAAGACTCCACTCACATGGACATCAGCATTCTGTTGAGTTCTACAGCCAAATTCTTTTTGGCTACCGCAATGGGGATTAGGTTTTCAATATACAAATTTCAGAGGAACACAAACACACAGTCCATAAGATATGAAATAAATAGAAATGAGTTCTAACATTTCTTTCATGTTCCCCAAAGGATGGCTATGGATAATCCTTGGGTACATGCATGTGCTTAGGGGACACATCTAGGGAACTGGACAAGTGGAGAGAGCCAAACTACATTTGGAGTATTGAGGCATCTGGGTGGGCCATGTCCCCTTTCTTCCCTGTGTCATCCTAAATCCACTGGGAAATTATTATAAAAGCAATTGGCTAATAGTGACAACGTCATCCATATGAKAATATACAAATGAATTAAGTGAACGAATAAAGAAATTGGAATGAAATGAGGTCCTTTGGTTTATTTCAGCCATCTTTGCAAATTCAGCAGAGGAACACAATCCCTGATATGTTTTCATCCCATTAATGGGATGATTGAAATGGTTTCAGGAACTTCATGCTAAACAGCACCAATCAATCCTCTTTAGTCAATAGAAAACAAGCTTCATTTTTGGTCAAACAAACAAGATATATCTATAGACCTGTGCTTTTTTTATAGCAGCTTCTACAAAGAACTAAAAAAATGCAAAAGAAAAAGTTGAAGTTCAATAAGGTTTTGGTCTGGGGACAAAAAAGGAGAAATACAACTTGTGTTCATTGAAAATTCTTCAGTTCAAAGTTCCTCTAGATGTCAGTATTACATAGGAAGATGAAAATATAATAGCCTGGGGCATTGAATGAGGACTTTCTTCCATTATTTAAAAGGTAAAACATATGTGATATATAATTTCCAAAGGAACAAACAGCCTTTTTTGGAAACTGACTTCTTATATTCCTCAGGACCAAGGGCTTCTCCTGTTGGTTAGATAGGACTCCACACCTAAAGAATATTGACAGAGTATATGGACACTTACCATCTGACATACAGATGGCCTTTGGGGCAAATGCTGACTGATCAGTGCTTCACAGAGTAGCACAGCCAAATTCTCAATTTTGCATGTTATGATGAACTAAAATTGACTGATACCTGTTTTTATTTTTAAGTCCACGTTTGCTTTTTACCATTGAGTTTATGCCACACATGATAAGCCCAGAAGCACAATGTCTACTGAGACACCAGGAATCTTCATTTAGAAAGTGAATCATTGAAACCAAGTGTAGTGGCTCATGCCTGTAATCCAGCTACTCAGGAGACTAAGGCAGAAAGATCGTGAGTTTGAGGCCAGCCTGGGCAACATAGTAAGACCTTGTCTCAACAAACAAACAAACAAACAACAACAACAAAAATAAAAAACAGAGAAGCCTTGGAAGACAAATTTATAAAATCTTATAAACACAATTTGATAATATTCCTTATTTGACTAAATTGAATATGCATTTTCAAAATTAAATCAAATAGTGTCTCTCTCTTTATAAAAAAATCCCTTCCCTTACTATGTTAACTTGAATCTTTTGGCCAAAAATTATTTGCCTCTCTGCTCTCATAATTTGTTTTCATTTTATGCTCTTCTTTCTTAATCTCATCTTCTGTGGTTCCAACTATGTAGTAGATCTCAATAAATATTGATAATGTAGCTTAGCTATGGTCTTTTGTTTTTTCCTAGTGGAATAGTAGAGTGTATGCAGTTGCTAAGAACACAGAGTGAGCTAGACAACTGAGTTAAAATCCTGGCTTCATCTATAAAATAGAGCTGATAGTCTACACCAAAAGGTTGTTATAAGGAGCAACCAAGTTGATAATGTAATGGTTCAATAATAACTGGCCCATTGCCCATGCTCCTTAATTTTAGCCATTATCACCATCATCATCATGGCCAGCATCATCATCATCAACATCATCATTATCACCATCATCATTGTCATTCGTCGTCATCATTACTGTCACCGACACTATCATCATCATCATTGTCATCATCAATATGTGCTGGTCCCTGGGCTAAGCACCAGGAGTCAAACATGAACCAGTCAAACCTTTAGAAACCCCAGAGTCTAGTGAGAAATTGACATGGGAAAAAAGGATCAATGAAATGTTGCAAGAGATAACAAGGGTGGGGTACATGTCRAGTTCTGTGCAAGCTTAGAGGAGGAGCAGCTGGCTTTGCCTGAGGAAGCTGAAGACCATGTTCCCCGCCATCTCTGCACTTAGACTTAAAAGAGAATTACTGCTCTAATACAGCCCTGGCTTTCTATAGATTTACTAAACATGCCTCTGTGTTGTGAGGTCCCTGGTTTAAAAATGGAAATACTCTGAACATGTGAAACTGCTCCTTAAATTATTTAAAAGTACAAGTACACATTGCAATTTGTCTTGGTGACTATGCACTAACTTATATGGTATTTCAGGTTAGCAAACCACTCTGAGGCAAACTGTTAAACTGTTTCTGTTTCAAGAAATAGGAGGGAGATACACCCCCCCCACACACACACACATACATACCGAGTTAGAGAGGGAGAGAGAGAGAGAGAGAGAGAGATAGAGAGAGAGAGATTGATTGATTGGACCTCCATACAATTTCTTAAATTTCTAATACATAAATTTAGAATTGTGATAATTTGGGTGGGTTGGACTAATGTTTACATTTTATATGGTATTTGAAAGGGATTTGAGAAGAATGTTTACCACTTAGGAGGGGAGATATTTGCTCTAAGCAACCTAAAAACTCATAAAAAGCTTATTTTCCTTAATTTTCTRTTTGCAAAGCCATTCACATATGTACTCTCATTTTTATTTGATTTTTATGTGATTTTTAATTTATATCAAGACAAATTAAACAGAGGTCAAAGGTGGCACATACATTATCAACATTCTTTAATCTATTCATGAAAATGGACAACCTATGAATCATGATAGAATTCTACAGTATTTCTTTGAAAATAATAAGTTAATTTGTTTTCAGGTATAAAATTCCACCATAAGATTAGCCTATACAGGCTTCATTAATTCAGACTCTTCTGTCCAGTGAATGTCTATTAATTTTTGTTTTTTTTTCTTTTAGAAATACATAATATTATGATTCTTAACCTGGAGCATTTTTATACCTAGGGGACATTTAGCAATCTCTGGGTACATTTTGTTTTATTAATATTATTGTGATTGACAAAGTTTCAGATAGACAAGAAGAGTAGATTTTTGAGATCTGTTATATGCAGAGTGAATATAGTGAATAATAATGTGTTGTATATTTTAAAATACTTAAGAGAGTAAGTTTTAAATGCCTGGAGATGCAATTGGTCATGACAGTTGGGAAGCAGGATGCTACTGGCATCTTCTGGGTAGATTATCAGGGAAGTCGCTGAACATCCTACAATTCTCATGCTGTTTCTTACCATAGAGACTTATGCAGCCCCCAAGTGTCGGTAGTGCTGAGTTTGAGAAATCTGGATATAATAGGTAATCTCACTTACTTTCATATCCACAGGCTAAGGAGAAGGTGTGGTCAAACCCTGGCCTGAAGGAAAAGACACTTGTCAAAGGTGAAAGGACATCAGCCCTAACAGGTAACATCCTTAGAAGACTAGCAGCTGCAGACAGAGAATCTGCTTTGAAAATCCTGCTATTTTTCTTATACAGAGGAAGTTACATGTTTAGAGAGAAATTCTATTTTGTGAATGCCTTTATCTGATTGATTTTTGGTCCCATCAGTTGCAAAAAAGAAAATCTCTTAAAATCCGATTGTCAATCAGTTGGTCCTCTTTCCTTTTTCCTGGCTACTCAAAACGTATGTCTGTTGTTAAAAAAAAAAAAAAAAAAATCCCATCAGTTGCAAAAAAGAAAATCTCTTAAAATCCGATTGTCAATCAGTTGGTCCTCTTTCCTTTTTCCTGGCTACTCAAAACGTATGTCTGTTGTTAAAAAAAAAAAACAAAAAAACAGAGCATAGATGGCATTATATGAAGCTGAAATTTTACTGATCACATGCATTCTCCATTAAAATATTTTGTGTCCTATGGTGGCTTCTAGAGAGATCTACCCAGAAGAACCAACTGTCCTCTGAGAAAGAAAAGATTGATAAACTCAACAAGAAAAATTCCGAAAAGACCAATGCCTCTGTAGCTCAGAGAAGTTTTGCCATGTGTCATTCAGAAAGGCAAGATAAGGCATTGGATTCTGTCCTGAGAAATTCCATAGAACCGAGGGAGAGCATAGATGGAAAAGGTATTTCTTGCACAGAAAGCTTGAAGAGAAAAGAAAATAATAGTGTTGGAGATGAGAAGCAAGCCACTGTGGATAAGAATGATTGTCCAGCGCTCAAAGGGGAGTCAAATGGACTCAATTCTAAGGAAGATACCAGAAGACTAGAAGATGAGGAGGAAGGACGGTCTCCAACAGCAGGAGCACCCATGRTGGACAAACATTCCAATAAAAAGCAGCATGTTGATAAAACTAACGGTGATCAGTCCCATGAAAGGTAGGGTGCAGCACTACACCCCACAACTGATGGTTCTTAGTGATCTATCTGCCATTACAGTTTAAGGTCATATTGAAAGAAAAATGAAGAGAGTTTTGAATTAATGATTTAGAACCCAGTTTCCCAGATCATGTAGATTTTTTTTCACATCCATATTTATTGCCCTTATTTTTCTTCTTGTCTCTGATATTTTCAGGCATTTTATTGTTTTGTTTGGATGCTGGGGATCGRACCCAGGACCTTGTTCATGCTAAATATGCATTCTACTACTAAGCTACATTCCCATCCATATAGTATTGCTTTCTAATTCTTCTATTATCATACAGATGAAGACAAAGTTTATAAATATTTCCAGTAATCAACATTTTGAAAAGATAAAATATTTTTTTTCTTGTTTAGCAACGGAGAAGATATTCTTCATAAGGGCAATAATTAAATAATGGTTAGATTTAATTGTAAGTTAGGAACCTAAATCTGAAAAAGTTTACCTAGTCCATTATACACAAAAAATTGGCTATTTGCATCCAAGTATTGTAAAAATTAGATTATTGAATGATTCGCTTCCTTAACTGCAAAGTTTCATATATAAATTCTGGAAATTTTGAAACCAATTGAAATTAATTGCTCTAAGTTATGGTAACCCATGGTATCTATTTGGAACAAAGGGTATCCAAATACTTGTGTGGTCCTTTTTAGAGACTGAAGACATAATTCTTGTTTAACTTTAAAATAATATACTTGAAACCTAAACCTAATCTTGGMTATATCTAATTTTCCATAAATTAAACATAAACAATGATGATTATTGAAGTCCATCACTGCAAAGATGTGCTTAGTAGTTATATGAACTGCCCCTAACCCAGAAATCCACCCATGTTCCCTTATGACTGATAATATTTAGAGATATTATTGCTTCTTATATTATGAAATTGGTCATTTTTTTCTCTATGAAGAAAGGAAGTGGGGAAAAATGAAGAACAAATTAGGTTTTCATATAATGACCACTTTTATAAAGAGACAGTGAAGTGCCTGGGGGTCACCACGAGGTCTTGGGGATAGTCTCTGCATCCTGGTAATTTACATAGATTCGATGGGGGGGAGCCCACTGCTTCCTTTGGTCCCTAAGCACTAAAATGGTCACCTCTGTCTCGGAGCTCACATCCTCTTCACCAGAACACCGTTGTAGGAAAGCTTTAGTTCTGAGAATTTTGACCATCTGAACATTTTCTCCTTGAAACTTTGAGAGCTGCAACTGGATTTTATTTTCCAGGTGCATCAACAGTGCCAAGATGGTATCTGCACCAGGAGTCCTGGGAAATCCAGCAACAGGATGCACCCTCCAGCATGCTGAACAAACGGAGTCCGTTGGCAGCAGTAAGCGCAGAGTGACCGAGGAGTGCTTCGTCAAGGAGGACAGCAAAAAGAGCAGAATAGATCTAGTGGGTGCAGGCGAAGAGAACACATTTAAAGGGACCCAGGAAGCCAGTCAAGCCCAGAGGAGCTTACAGGGTCAACCCCCTGAGTCTGTGGGAATGAAACCCTCCAGAGAGCAAGATCTGGTGGCCCCACTGGGTAGGAAATGGCTTTTGTACTGGCCTTTTAAAACTTCCTAACCTTTTCCAGCAAGCATTCCAAATGAAGTTTCATTATCCTAACAGCCTGAAAGAGACTTAAGCCCTATTGATGCTGTTTGTGTGTTTAACCGGAGCACTTTTTTTTTTTTTAAGAAAAACTCTGAAGCTATGAGTTGCCACCAAGTGAATGCTCTCTTGACAACATTTTTCAGCATATTCATAGTGTAAGAAGTGAAAGTCCACTCAAATCATATTCTCAGATGTTAACTGAATACAAAGATGTCATGACATTAGTTAAGTTAATTTTAAATTAAAAGCATCAGCCGGGAGCAGTGTGTGCTTGCCGGTAATCCCAGCTACYCGGGAGGCTGAGTCAGGAAGATCAAGAATTTAAGGCCAGCCTTTGCAACACAGTGAGACTTGGTCTCAAAACAAAACAAAACTCTCCCAAAGTATTAACACTCAGTAGAGGACCTGAAACAAAATAAGTGCTCAAGAAACATGTTGAACAAATATCAAGTATTGAAAGCAAAGCTGTTATCTACTCCCCTCATTGAATGCATGCAATAATAGCTGCTTAATAAATGAATACATGGAAAATGAACAGGTTCATGGCCAGCAAATTTTAACAGCAGACGTCATGGAGAAGTAAAAAGAATACTGGGAGAAATATTATAATAGAGTAATTACGCATGTTAGGACTAATGTTGATATGGTCTAGAGTTTAAATACACAAGATGGAAGGTGGAAAGTGGAAGAAATTCGATAGCTGTAGAATACACACTTACCTCGTTTTATTGGGTGTTTTATTTCCAGCCAGCCAGGAAAAATTCATCTCTGTGACTTAAATGTGTCTTAAATAGAGCCTAAAACGTTTTGGAAAGTAATATATAACATCAAACATTTCAGTGACATGAAGAAATGTTTCATTTTTCCTTTTTTTTCTCTCTCTGCTTTAATTAAAATAACAGAATATATCAAGGGACACTTTTTAAAAACATGGATCAAATAATTCCTCATGTTTGAATTAAAATGGTCTCACTCAAGCTTGGAAGTATTTTTTTTTAATTGTTTGTTTTTATGGTTTTTTTTTTTTTTTATTCTGGGAAAGGAACCCAGGGCCTTGTGCACATTAGGCAAGTGCTCTGCCACTAAACTGCACCAAGTTCATTACCTGTTTGGACTGTACTGGGCTTGGACATTTGCTACTATCTTTTGATATTTCTGAAAAGTGGTTCAGAAGATGGTATGAATGATAGTTGGATGGTCCTGACATTCTTTCTCAAAGAGGTCAGATATTACCTTTATTAATCGCAGGTTATAATATGAAATGGAATTTTATATTCCTGGATCATTCAGAATAAAACAGAAGGCACATGATATTTAATTATTAAATGAGCACATTTTTATTATGAGGCTCAATGCTAGATGCTAAAAAGAGGTCAGASTGCTTGACAGACAGCCCTTTTTTCCTCTCACCTTCTAGATGACATCCCTGCTCCTGCTGCCCCATTCGATCATCGAATTGTGACAGCCAAGCAAGCAGCGGTCAACAGTTTATATACTGTGAGCAAAACAGAGATTTTGGGAGGGTAAGTCATGCTCAACTGGAACAGCAGAGACAGACCTGAGGGCTTCAAAAACGTTTTCCTGAGAACTAGAACATTTATAGACAGACAAGAGATTTCATCCATTTCTGAAAATTGTCACGGGTGCCAGAAAGGTTGATGTGGTCACTAAACTCCACATTTATTATCTGCTTTTACTTCCCATGTTGTAATGTCTGAAAGTAAGAAAAACCCAATGTGAGTCACCAGAAGATTCTGAAGCTGTTCAAAGCCATGGCTTAAACCCCAGGAGACAGAACGTAGAAATGAGTCACCGCCTTGTCTTTCTTGTGGCATGTGCAAAGTTTTTGTATCATTCTCCATTTCTACTGTTACTGTATTGGTTACTATTATCCATTCTGATTGATTGCTTTCCTCACTGAATTGCTTATTTGAGGGACACCGAAATGCATGCTCTCTCCCTAAAGAAGAAAGATTATGGGAGCACATTTAGACTGGGAGATGTTTTTTCCTCTTCTACTTCATTCACAATTGCCTCTACGATACTTGTAACTCAAAGCTTCAATTATAAGGTTTGCTATCATCAGCATGTCTTTGTATAGAAAAAAGAAAAGGAAGAGGAAAGCAGAAAATTTACATACATACATACAAAATTTACTTACCAACACATGGGAAATAGACAGATTTCTGCAATTAATTACTGGGGTGTAATTAATTGATTTCAAGAGGTCCTTTCTTCCTCTTCCCATCCATATTCCTTTTGCCCCTGCCACATGGAACCACCTGAATGTCCTCCTTGGTGATCATGAGAGAACTCCCCATGGGACATGGGGATGGGCGGAGGAGAAATGAGGATTCCACAGCATGAGCTGGTGCCATGGAAGTCTGAAGTATTTGAGTCTTCAGGGATTTCAGTGGCAAGCCAGCAACTATTTCTCTGAAGGAGAATAGTTATTTGCAGAAGAGATTTTGARACAATTCCCAGGGTTTGTGCTGTTTTTCTGGCTAAGGTTTGTCAGTAGTACCCCTTCAACTTCCTTTCTGCCCCCTATGGGCACCACTGGATCTGCTTGGTTGCACTGAAGTCTAGACCAGCAGCTGTTCGTCTCTTGTTCTGGGCTCCACTCAACACTGGCAGCCACCATCTGCTCAGCAAACTAGTTGAGTGCATGTTGCTGCCTTCAAGATGTGAAGGGATCATTGAGTGCTGGCCTCCTTTTCGGTGGTAGGAGGGTCAAGATTCAGCATCTGACCTTTTCCTTTTGGTAGAGATGCTRTAAGATGCCAAGGATTATTGGATCTTCAAAAATTTTTTCCTGTTTTAGTCTGCTGCSCTGTGGCCTCTAGGATATTTATATCCCTGCTATAGTTTGGATTTGTAATGTTTCCCAAAGGCCCTTGTGTTAAAGGCTTGGTTTAACAAGCCTGTGGCACTATTGAGAGCRGGTGAGACCTGTAGGAGGAGGGGCCTGGTGGGAGAAAGTTAGGTTCCTGGGGGTGTGCCCTTGAAGGGGATATTGGGATCTCAGTCCCTTCCTCTCTCTCCCTTTTTGCTTCTCTGCCACCATGAAGGGAGCAACTCCTCTGCCACATGCTCCTCCTATGACATACTATGCTGCCACAGGCCCAAAGCCACAGGCCAAACATCCATGCACTGAAACCTCTGAAACCATGAGCCAAAACACACCTTTCTTCCTTTAAGTTTTTTTTTAAATATTTTTAAAGCTATACATGGTCACAATATCTTTCTTTCTTTATTTTTATGTGGTGCTGAGGATCAAACCCAGTGCCTCATGTGCGAGGCAAGCGCTCTACCAYGAGCCACAACCTTAGCCCCCTTTAAGTTTTTTTTTCCCCTTAGGTATTTTGTCACAGCATTGAAAATATGACGAATGCTGATGGTCATGTTTAGTTAACATGAGGTTATTAGTCTGGTGACCCAGCTTGAATACTGGGAGGTGGACTCATCATTCAAAGCCCTTGCAGAATAAATCTTGTGAGAGAGCCACAGAGTGGAGATAACCCTGGTGTCAAACTGTGGTGGCTCACCATTGCTGGGCCAGGTAGTTCTAGGCCATTGCTAATGATGGGGGGAAAGTACTTTCTTAAACAATGATCACAGAGGAGGTGCCTRGGGCTGTATTCATATTCTCCAGTGCAGGTTACATGGAGAATGGTGGTTGGAATTGCACTTACCCCCATGGCTATGTTTATAGTAATCCAACATCATTCTCCAAGCTCCACCTGCTTCTGCCCTGGGAAGGAAGCTGAGTTGACTGGAATGTGGTGGCTGTCACTGCCCTGCCTCTGTCAGGTGTTGCTATCAACATCATCTCTGCAGGCTCCAGGAAAKTGTCCTTGTTCAAGTTCACTGTGCAGTTAGTGAGGCTTCCCTTTCATTCCTTGCCATGACAGCCACCATTGCACACAGCAGGGTCTTATCTATTTTACCTTACTAGATAAGCAATCAAAATAAGCAACTCAAGTTTAGAAATTGCTCACAAGTGTGCATTTTGGAATGCGATCACAAAGGTATGGAGATGTATTAGTTTGTTTCCTGTTACTTCAATTAAATACCTGAGACTGGGTCCTTTGTTAAGGAAAAAGGTTTACTTAGTTCACAGTTCCGAAGATTCAAGAGCATGGTGCCTGTCATGACTTGCCTCTGATGAGAGTTTCCCTGGTTGGTTACATCATGGTAGACAATATCAAAGTAGGAGAAAGTAGAAGAGTTAGGGATCACACCATGAAACAGGAAGAGACACTAGGTTTGCTCTTTTATAACAACCCTTTCATAAGAACTAACCAGGATTCCATAAGCACTATATCAATTCCTTCTGTTACTTCTTATTAGGTCCCACCACTTAAAACATMTCCATATTATCCCCCAACATTGACATACTGAGGACCAAGCTCCCAACACATGAATCTTGGAGGCACACCCTCAACCTATATCATACCAGAAGCACATATGGATTGACTCCCAAGCTAAACTGAGATAATACTCCTTGGCAACAAGGCAGTATGTACTTCAGAATCATATGTACCTATATGAGATATCATTTTTACATCTCTTTTAAGTTCATATGCAGTTTCTAAATGGATTCTGATATACCTGCCCCACAGACTGAATCATCCATATGCTTACCCAACCCAGTTTGTTACATTCATATATATTCAGAAAGATTCTGTCTTGTCAACTACTGGTTCTGAATTTTGGTGTGCACATGAATCATCCAGAGAAAGGGTGAAATGCAGATTCTTGGGCCTTACCCTGAATTCCTGCCTCCATAGTTCTGGGGTAGGGTCCGAAATACTACATTCTTAACACGCTCCCTCCTGGGAGATCTGACACAAGTSACCTCAACCACACCTTGACTAACGCTGTACAGAAGTCCAGGGGATACAGTGRGTGCACACACAGGTTTGCTCTTCAAGTTCAAAAGAAGAAAAGCCCCAGAGAAACTGCCCTGTCTGTGTGGCAGTGACTGCCGGGTTCCCTGGCAGGTGGCAGTGTCTCATTCTGTGCTSTTCTCTCCTTTGGCAGGGGGCGTTTCGGCCAGGTTCACAAGTGTGAAGAGAAGGCCACAGGCCTGAAGCTGGCTGCCAAAATCATCAAGACCAGAGGCCCAAAGGACAAGGTGAAGGGYGTGGGGTGGGGATGGGGGCAGGTGGGTGCAGGAGCTACCCTCCTAACCATTCTCCAACAACTAAAGCCCTGTCTCCTCTCTCTCAGGAGGAAGTGAAGAACGAGATCAGCGTCATGAATCAGCTGGACCACGTGAACCTCATCCAGCTCTATGATGCCTTTGAGTCTAAGAATGACATCGTCCTGGTCATGGAGTAGTAGGTGTCCCCTCCTGCCCACTCTCCTTTACCCGCCTCCTCTACCCCACTCACGACTAGGAGTCTGCAGCTCCAATTTGCCTCAGCAGGGTCAGAGTCAAACCATCGCACCTTTGGATCTGATTTGTCTGAATCACATGGTCGTGTCCRTCTCAGAAGGCAGACCACTTAGAGAATATGCATCTCCCAATGYGACGTGTGGAGAAGATGGAGCAGGGCAAAAATGGATACAGCTTTGTATCTAAGCTATATTACCACGAATCAAGCTTCCATTTTGTCCTGGGAAATCTAGAGGAAAGCGACTTTTGAGTTACATCTCATTTCCAACATATTGTCATTCCCCGCCTTGTCCTCCAAGAATAAGTTCCAAGTCCCCGGAGTGGATGCTTGAAACCAAGGACAGTCCTGAGCTCTCTAGTTACTATATTTTTCTTATACATACATACCTATGATAAAGTTTAATTTGTCAGTTAGTAACTAATAATAAAATGGGACAAACATAATATGCTATAATAAAMTTATGGGAATGTCATCTCTCTCTCAAAATATCTTACTGTTCTACACGGTCCACAGTTTCCTGTTGGTAACCAAAACCCCAGAAAGCAAAACTGTGGACAAGCAGAGATTACTGTATTCATTAATACAAAGCTTATGTCAAATGCTTGATGAATAGAGTGAGAAGCTTCCATTTAATCACCTTTGTAAAAACTTAATGACTGGTTGGTTAGAAAATGAGTAGTTTCAGGCTGGGGATGTAGTTCATTAGTAGARCACTTGTCTAGTATGTGTGAGGCCCTGGGTTTGATCCACAGCACCACAAAAGAAAAATTGAGAGAAAGAACAAAAAGAAGTTAGAACTACTCGCCTGCCTGTCAGGCAGACAGGCAGGCAGGCGAGTAGTTCTAACTAACACTGAATCAATATTTACCTGCCCTGCCATTTTGGGTTTTGCTTCTTGTTGTGCAATAAAGTATCTTAYATAGTAAAGTATCATTCCCATAGAAGCACTTTGTCCCTGCAGCTGGTCTGAGGACTATGTCCTTAGAGTCCTCGTTGTCTCCAGCATTGAGCTGGAGCCACTGATAGAAGAGTCTTTGAGGTTTTCCTTTTGTAAAATTGAAGGTATGTACAACAAGAACCACCCAACTGAAATAGCAAAGGAGGCAGAGAAATAACTATGCACACAGCTTTTTTTGGGGAAGAGTTAGAGGAACTTACACACCAAATTGCCACAAGAAAAGCATGTGGTGGTCCAGGGCTCAGAACTAAACACCACCTCTCTTCCCTCTGTAGTGTGGAGGGCGGGGAGCTGTTCGACCGCATCATTGATGAAAACTACAACTTGACTGAGTATGATACCATCCTGTTCATCAGGCAGATATGCGAGGGGATCAGGCACATGCACCAGATGTACATCCTCCACTTGGACCTGAAGGTAGGGCATGTTTTCTGTTCTGCCAAATTTAAAGCCTTCCCAACCCCGCTCCCCACCCCATCTTGATTTGTGGGCCTTGCCAGATATACTCCAGCTCAGGAAATTTGTGGTGTCATTGGTTACATTTTCAGGAATTTTTTTTTTTTTTTTTTTTTTTTTTTTTTGGTATGGAGTCTTTCTGTATTGCTCAGGCTGCTCTCAAACTCCTGGGCTCAAGTGATCTTCCTGCCTTAGCCTCCCAAGTAGCTGGGACTACAGCTGTGTGTTATCACACCTGGTGAAAATCTGGATTCTTATCTCATTCTCAGCTTCTGCCCCCATCTTTAGGTACTATGCCTCCTTTTAGAGGCTGCTGTTCATTTGTAACTTGCTTGTGTTAAAGAAATCATCAGTGGGGGTAGTTTCCTGAAAAATTTAGAATTAAAGCTGCCACTACACCACCACAGTGTTCTCATCATATCCTCCTTATTATCAGGATATGTAGATGCATCCACAATTCACAATTCCCTAGTAGTAACTACACTTTCCAGGTTTCTAAGAATCCCCAGCGCTCCCCTGAACTGTTTCAGGAAGCTCTGGACTTTGGGATCTACTTTCCTATGGGCTTGCCTGAGCACTAGTAGAAACTATGGAGAAGGGAATGTAGGGCAGCCAGAGGGCAGGGCTCCAAAGTCAAAGAGCAGAGAGGACAGGGCGGGGCACCATGCTGGAAATGGTGGAATGCATAAAAGATGCCAAACCACTTCCTTTCTCCTATTATTTATTACCCCTTCCTTTTTTATCTCTCTCAGTATGAAGCCCCTAGAATTGAACTGTACACAATTCCAAACTAACTAAAGACGGAGACCGAATAACACTGACCAAGCCAAATGTTGCAGCTATGAGTCAAAGTCCATCTTGTGTGGCTAGATCATTTGTTCATTTCCCTGTTTGCACAGCATGACAGTGAGATAAAGTATGAATTCCATATGATATACCATCTATTGCAAGTCACCGGGGATTGTGCAGCTAAATAAATCTAGCCTCCTTAAATAGCTTTCCGTGGGCCTCTCTTCTACAGCTTGGCTTCCCTCGCTGTTGATTTATGTGCCTTGCCTTTCCCATTCACTGGTGCACAGAAGGAGGGCCAGAGGAAGTGGTATATAAAACGACAAAGTCAGAGGTCAAAAATCATTAGCAAAGCCCTTGGCCATGAACTGAGTATGATAATGCATATTTTCATGGTGCATTTTCGTTGAGTGTGGATATTCTGCAGATATCCCTAGAGGGATTTGATTGGCAACTGGAGCCAGGAGCTGGCCTATTATAAGTCAAATGACTCTGGCTTCATAACATTGATTGAGAACTTGCAATAGGCCATTTTAGTTATGCCTTATATACATAATAAAGGTGACAGCTGGATGGGTCATTAAGGACTAGCTTTTGCAAAAGCTCCTTGGAAGGAAAAGGGCCCAAAGTATTGAATGTCTGTCACTATACAGGGGAGAGGAGAAGTAACTTAAAAATGGTCTCCTTTATATTTTTCTGCTCTAAAAATCATATCCAATGAATATTCTTTCATTTCCCAATCATAAAAATTAACTTTTTGAAGTGCCTTCTTGACATTCTGCAAATCAATTCCCCCCCCCCACACACACACACACACAAGGCTATGATCCCTGAGGTGAGCTACCATCCCTCCTAAGGGATGGGGGAATGGAATCCTGGCATCCAAAGACCTGGCTCCTGTCCTCAGTTTTCAGAGAAGAGTTGAAACTAGAGTTTGAGGGTGTTCAGCTCTCCTTTAAAAATGTTATTTCTCTTTTAGAGATAATCTTGACTTTAAATCAAGTCCTTTATTTCTCCCCGACCTCATTTTTTTCATATCCCAATAAATATAGGTCCCTTTGTAGGACATTCTAGGGACGCTGGGCAGTAGTGCTACTTACCAATTTTTCTCCAACTTTGTCCCAGACTGTCAATTTAGCAGAGTGAAGTCTTACCTGAATCTAACTCAAAGGAAATATTAGTCAAGGGCTTCAGGCATTGAGACCAAACTCAGCAAAACCTTAGGATTTCTGAGAATGAAGAATGAGTAGGAGGAAACAGCTTTGCTTTAACATGAGACTTTCCCATAGACAAAGCGCAAAAGAAAAATCTAAAAGTCAGGAGAGTTCACGTTATATTGCATATTCTGGGTGGTTAAGCGAATCAGGCCATTTCTCTTGGAACTCATAAATCTTTGGATGAAATGTGCCTCCAAGCAGGGGAAATTCATACTTAATAATTTTAGGGGGGCCAATGTCACATCTAGCTGGCCTCCACCAGTCCATTTGGGAAGTCCTGAAACAGCTTCCTCCTTCCCTCAAAGAGGCCTCTGCCTGAACTCATGCATTATGGTCAACTGCGAAGCTGTGGAGAGGGACAGGCAGGGTAATGCAAGGTTGGCAGTGTCCCCGCAACCTCATCCACCACATAATTAAAGGAGAAAATACCCACACAGACAAGCCAGCCCCCAAGTGAAAGGCCTGATATGTTTTTCCTGAGCATCGTTGTATTTTTAGTTGTGGTTCAAGGACAATTTGAGTAAAGGATTGTTGTTTTCATTGCTAATGTGTCTCTTTCTCCTGGCAGCCTGAGAATATCCTGTGTGTGAATCGGGATGCTAAACAAATAAAAATTATTGATTTTGGATTGGCCAGAAGGTATGTCTATTCGCACGTAGGTGTAAGAATGGATTAGGGGACGTGATCGATGATCGATCTTTGCAAAGTAAATCTGATATACTCCTTGGTTTCACGTCCACATTTAGAATTAACTTTATGAAATTTATATTCTCCTTACCTTGTCAAATTTGAGATTTGTCTTTAGAAGTCTCTGTGATGCATGTAAAAAAAATATGATAAATTTAAACCTTGTATTAGGTATGAAGTTTATGAAGTTAGAAGCCACACGTTTAACATTTTTAAGAGTTTGTCTTGGTCTTTTATATTTGTTCCATCAGTGACAAGCAGATTTACTTTTAAAATGTTAATAATTTTAAAAAGATTGCCAAAGGTTCTGGCACATATATGCTCCTTAAGGGAATAAAGAGTTTACATGGACACATTAACAATTCAGCACATTAACGATGCATATAAAATGGGTGTTGTAAATTATTGCAGTCTTTTCCTTACTCATCAACGCAGGCTTATTCAAGCCTGTACATGTCAAGGACTGTATCGTTTTACATTATATTCTATAATTTAGATGTTCTAATTATTCTGAGTGACTTTTGCCAAAACCGTTTCAGATTATTACACTCTYGTAGTATAAATTTTGACTCTTGAAACCCCTCGGACTTCTTCACAAGTTTTGGAYGCTGGTACAAAGACAGGATTTCTTTTAAAGTCTATTTAATTTGAATTTGCTGGATCGCTGAAGTTGTTCCGTCTCATAGACTACATCTCTTTTCTGGGATCCCAATTTTGAAGTTTGGATTGACACCCTCCATCCTTCCATCCTGTCTCCTCAATTTCAGATACAAACCCAGAGAGAAGCTGAAGGTGAACTTTGGAACCCCAGAATTTCTTGCCCCTGAAGTTGTGAACTATGATTTCGTGTCCTTTCCGACTGACATGTGGAGTGTGGGGGTCATCGCCTACATGCTGTAAGTCCCTGTGCAGGTCTCTCTCACACGCTTGGCCTAAATCTGTGCATATTCTAAGAGGTTTAGCTATTTTTGAATAACAGCCCTGATTTAGGTCATTTAAAAATAACAACGTACCATACTCTGTGGCTTCTTAGGTTCTGTTGAATCCTCTTGGGTGAAGAGTGAATTCTCCCCCACCTCATCTGAAAAAGTGAATGTGTGTGTCTTCACAAATCACTTTGAGTGCTGATACCACCTGAAGCTTTAAAAGGAATTAAAAAGAAAGAGAAAGACTCGGTAGTGACACTCCTGGTGTTGTCTTCTGAGTATACAACAGTACTTTTCTAGCTACAAAATGCTTTAACAAGGAATTACTATCTTTTGAAAATTCATATTTGAGTGTAGCAGCAGCTTTCACAGTTGCCTTTGTTGAATTAGGAGTTCAGTGGGGGAGGTAAATATTTCCTTGTTTGTAATGATATATTATTAAATTATTCTCCATTGTTAGGTTATTTTCCCCTTCTGACTTTTAAATGACAGAACCCAAAAAAGCAAACTGTCTGTAAAGGTTTTGAGGCTATTTAAAAAATACTCACTCTGGATCCTGCACCTTGTAGACTTAGCGGTTTGTCCCCTTTCCTGGGCGATAATGACGCAGAGACACTGAACAACATCCTGGCATGCAGGTGGGACTTAGAGGATGAAGAATTTCAGGACATCTCAGAGGAGGCCAGGGAATTCATCTCCAAGCTCCTGATCAAGGAGAAGAGGTAACCTAAGTTCATCCTGTGCTCTGGGAAAAGTAGGGAAACAATATGTACCACTGGGGTTATTAGAATTCATTCCCCTAAAGCCCGGGTGCTGGGCTAATMCCAGTGACAGGAGGCTGAGGCAGGAGGATTGCAAGTTGGAGGCCAGTCAAGTCAGCCTCAGCAACTTGGTAAAATCTTGTCTTAAAACATTTAAAAAAAAATGAGAAGGGCTGGGGATTTAGTTTAGTGGTAAAGCACTTCTGAGTTCAAACCAGAAAGAAAATCATCCCTCTATCTAGCAAGTCTATTGAAATCTGGGGCTACTCTGTTCRTGAGGCATTTAGGATTGTCATTTTATGTCTTTCTGCCTTTTGCAACAAAGCTCTAGCAATCATGGTCTCCCGTTAGGCCCCAAGTTATTCATCTTTAATCCCTTTCACCCATTTAAGCCAAATGCATAGCTCTGGGCAGCTGAATAACCACCATTTCATTTGAGAATCTATTGGGGGCCAGATGGTGCCATGTGCTTTTTAGATATTATCTCTTTTAGTCACCATCTTGCCTCCTACTCCAAGAGGTAGAAACTCTGATTATTACTATTTTATCAATGAGACTCTAAGCAGTTGGCCCACAGTCACATGGCTTTTAAGGGGCAGAACTGATACTGAAACACAAGTTGACCTTCCTCCAAGGCCACACACTGAGCTGTTATGTATTCCATGGCCTTTTAGTTTCCCTCATKCTAAAACCACATTCATTCAAAGTTCAGTGGATAAAGAACAATATTGAAATACAGGGACTTGCATCTTAGAATAATAGAGGGAGAGGGACATTGTGATTAACCTGTCAAACATACTATTTCAGATGGCTTTATGCCTAAACCATGTAACGGTAGGTGGTCTTTAGGATTGTCAGAGCCAGTAATACTTGGTTTATTGTTTTATTGTCTTTTTGACTTTTAGKTCCATTAATAAGCATGACCACAAATCAATAGATTGAGGGATGTTGTGTGGAGTAGAGTAACAGCATGGGTAGTGGGTCTGATGTGGGGCCTAATGGGAAATCCTTTCATTCAAGTATTTCACTGATCATCTACCATAATCCAGCAAACAAATTGGGGCATCGAGCATAGATGTATAAAACCTAGTCCTGCTTTAATAAATGCATGATCTAATAGAAGAGATAGTTGTTTTTAAAAATCAATAATACAAATGTGGTCAACACCAAGATAAGAACAGAATGGAGTCCCTAAAGGGTGAAGACTTAGCCAGGCTAAGAGCATCAGTCTAAGAGAAGGGATAATTTGTATTGTGATTTTCTTTGTCCTTAATGAAAGGGCACAATAATAGCTAAGGTTATTATTATTATTTGCACATTACTGTACTATAGGCAGTGGACAGATAGAAAGTGCCAACCCTATGAAACTTTGGGGGATGAGAAATCCACAATTACTGTGAACCTATTGTACATATATATTATATAAATATATTCGATCAATTGATCTATCTATCCTTTTATGTATTACCTTATTTAACCTCTGGAAAATCCAGTGGTATATGGACATACCATCATTACTTTACAGATGAGGAAACTGAGGCTGAGAGTCATGAAGCCATGGGGCTAAGGCAGAGCAGATCCTGAGCAGGACCAGTGACTCCAATGCCTAWGCCTTGCTCACCCCTGCAGTCTAAGGGCTTTGTTTAATACCTGATGCATCCCATAAATTTGGTYGACTGGTTTAGTCTTGAAGTCAATAGTTGGATAAAACTAAGGTTAAAGTCACATATTACCATGATAGCATAAATTTCTGGGGTACAAAGATAAAGCTGAAATGTTATTAAAAGTTTTATTATGAGTAAAATGTTACTATTAGCTCTTCAATGTTAAGATTTTAAAAGTCTGACAGTGCAGRAATAATCATTTTTCAGCACTGTCCACTATTGGAATTCTCTGACATCTAATAATGGAAATTTATGGTACTAAACACAATCACATTTCCATCTGTGGTTGGAGGAGGTGAGGAGTTTTTTCTTATTRATAACCTCTGTCTGGTTAGGGTCCTGTAATAGTGATGCTGTCAATAATGTCACTAAAGACATATTTCCTCTTCAAATTGATACTTAAATATTTGGCATCTGATGAAGCAATTATATTGACTCAATCCTACAAACTGAAGCTTTATGATTGTTTGAAACTACTGACTTGATATTTTTCAGAAATTGCACTCAGTTGTAGTTTTTATTTTGAAAAGTTATTTTTRTGTGATCCATATTAGTACACCAAACAAGTTACAAATTTCAGAATTAGAATGTGATATCATCTTTATTATGGTGTTTATATATGGTTAAGAGAGTATTATTTTCTAAAATTGTATAAACCTCTTTTTGTAGCTGCAGAAGGAGATAGTTTCTTCATAAAGTATTCCTACTTTCTTCTAATAATTATATTAACCATATTTCCTTATCTATTTAACTCTTCAAAACTTCTTAGTTTGAGCATTAGTAATACATATACAAAAGACATAATACCTGAATTACTTTTGTAATAATCAATAATCATTGTGGTTTGTTGTTCTCATAATAATAAATATGGGTTTATTCTTCAACTGTTAGGAACTCAATTTATGAGGCTCAGATATCACAAGAACTATTTCTTATATTTGGAAGTATTCAATTATTAACAAGAATTTTTATCATTTGTCTTGCTTGCTTTTCCAATGCTGTTACTCTGATTGGATGCGATGGTGACCTCTGCCCTCATCCTCAGCACACAATTCTAGAAAAGATACACTTTACTGTGAATTTGACATTTGGCCATCTGGTCTACCAGCACCAAAGATGAGGGACAAATGTAGACCTTGTTTGGTGTGTTCCTACTAATGGGTTTCTTTCCATTTAGTTGGAGGATAAGTGCCAGTGAAGCTCTCAAACACCCCTGGTTGTCAGACCACAAGCTCCACTCCAGACTCAAGGCACAGGTAACCAGGTTTCTTCCTTTCTTCTTTTTTTCCCCTCCTATTTTCTTGTGTTTTGAGGACATAATGCTACTGTCATCTTAACCTTAAATAATGTTCCTTCTAATGCCTTTTCTCATAGTCTTCAAATCTTGTACTAGTGTTAATTTGCTTAAGGTTCTTTTATTGAGTATTTTGCATTTAAAAAATAATGTTAATTATGGTGTTTATATATGGTTAATAGAGTATTATTTTCAGCATAATTATTTATTATTAAATCATTTTATCCTTTACTAAATAAATCACATCAAAATTCTATGTATATACACACACACCCCATTTGGTGTGTGTGTGTGTGTGTGTGTGTGTGTGTGTGTGTGTGTGTGTTTAAAATATTATATACATACATAAAGTTTTGGAGAAGATATGCTGATAAACATTCAGGATAAATCCCTCCTTAAAACAATTCAGTATTATAAATTCTTTGCTTACCTGGTTTAATCTACTCTGGGCACCAAATCTTAACTCTGATATTCAGCTTGGTCAAGATGTCCCTATAAGTATATGTGGAGGAGATTTGTACCACAGACTAAAGACTGAAATATTTGTTAACAAATAATTGACCCCATGCTCTGGGCTTACTTCTTATAGTGAAATCTTTCTCTATTCMCGCTGCCTTACCATTTATATTCTGATTCCTTCATCTATTTCTTTGGCATCGATTTCTTTTTTGAGCTTTAGATTCATATATGCACCTAGGTACAAGATGCTTCCACTTGGATCTTCTCAGCCCTTGCCTTTCCCTACCTCATCTCATCTTCAACCATCCTCCAGAAAAGAATGTCCATTGAGTGGCATCAACTAGACCTCAGACATCTTCTTTGTTTTCTCCCTCTCCCTCAATTTCCCCATCTCATATTTAACTACCTCCATGTTATGTACATAATATTCCCCAATTACCTCTGGAATCTGCAATTCTCTCCATCTCTGCGGTTGTCCTGGCCTGGGACATTTGTCTCCTGAATTGCTATAGTAGCTTCCTGGCTGGCTTCTCTGCCTCCCTCATGCTGTTTCCATCCAAATAATTGTGGATTCTAGAAATAACACAGAAACAGTGAATAATATTTAAGTAACTTTACTTGGGATTTAGGATGCTCAACCAGAAAAGTTGCACAGAGGGACAATAATCATTCTATGGCTTCAGGTTCCCAGGTGACAGGCCTGATATGTGCATCAGTTAGCATGGCTTCTGCCATTGCCCCAGCCTGGTGTGTGTGTGTGTGTGTGTGTGACACATTTTTATTTCCTCCACCTTTTCTCCTCATCTTCCCCACTCCCTGGGGTTTTGGAATGGAACTTTTCCCTTGACCAACAAACCTTGGAATGACTATGCTTCAGGTACTCACTTTTTCCACATCCAGCTTTTATTGAAATTAACTCTACTTCTAAATTCAGCATCAACACTGAGTTTTATTTGTGTCTGAATATACCTTTCCTTGATAATTGGTACTGATGCCAAGTAAAAATAGACTCATTACCTAGCCAGTACCTCACCCAGACTACATAAACTGCTTATTAGGGTGACCAACTTATTTTGAGCCCATTTTCCACCAGTGTATTTTTATCCAAGCTTATTGGTGTCCAAATACACTTTGACGTGGCAGGACAATATAGAAACCACAGTGGAGAATTAATGACATTATACAGTCTAAAAAGTGTTTAAAAATATTTCTTAAACCATATTACAACAACAAAAAAATCACCTTTTTTGTTATTTCATCTAACTGCTAGCACCTGAGGTGAATAAATATTTCAAGAATACTGACAATTTTGGAAAAAATATAAATCTCATCATTAAAATTATAATTATGCAGCTCTGTGACAGAGACTGCCCTAACCGCTTTACAAAAACCCTCATGCCAACCCTATGAAACAGGCACCATTTTCATCCCCATTATGTAGATGTGAACCCTGAGGAAGGGAGGGTGAGTTCTAGAGTCTGGAGCTGAACTTTCTTGCTCTACCATCCTACTGGGGAAAAGGGGCGTGCACAACGTTTCCAGAATCATTCTTGGGTTGTACATATTTGATGTTATGAAAAGCCAATATACAAACATTATGTTTTATGTTTTCCAATGAAATACATGCTGAGTATCCCTTATCTGAAATGCTCAGGACCAGAAATGTTTCAAATTTGGGGTTTTAAAAAACATTTTTTGGAATATTTGCATATAAATAATGAGATATGTTGGGGATGGGACTTAATCTAAACACAAAACTTGCTTATATTTCATATACATTTTTATACAAATAGCCTGAAGATACTTTTAGTGCATCTTCTTTTTGACTGTGACCCATCACACAAAATCAGGTGTAGGATTTTTCTCATGTGATGTCATGTTGATACTGGAAAATCTTCAAACTTTGAAGCATTTCTGATTTTAGATTTTTGGATTAGAAATGCTCAATCTGTATGAGACTAAATTTTTTCAGAATACTTATTTTTGCAATAATGTTGCTGTGATATGTTCTCTGAATTAAGAATTTACCTTTATACTAAACATTTCTGACCCAAACTACTAATCAGTTTAAATTCTACTTCGTAGAATTTAATGTATTGTATGCATTCTTATCTATTTCTTTTAATCGTTTTATGCTTAATAGCATAGGCCTCAATCACCTATCATCAGGCCTAATGATGAGTAGGCCTATCATCATTCATTTAAGAAGCATGTTCTTTTCTTAGAAATTAAAGTCCTGAAATTCTCTGCCTTCTGTCTTATGCTCAAGATGACATGCAGTGGTTGCATCTTTTCTTATGTCCCCAACTATATGAACATATCCCGTCTCCCATCAGAAACAGCTCTCACCTGGGGTGGAACAAAGCACTCTAAACCATGAATCAATTAGGACTCTGTGAGTTCCTCCTACAGAACTCCTAAATGCTTTGGGGCCAGAGGAAGGAAATATGAACAAAAATAGCATAGTTTCTTTTCTCCCAGAAGTAAGACACTTTCTAACCTTCTTCCTATTCTCTGTGCTACTACCTTAGTTCACGCCCTTTTCTTAATGAACTAATAAAGCATCTATGAGCTGATAGCCAACCCTCACTCTTTTCCCTAGTCCATCAAGCCATCATTTCCTTAATTACAACCTGGATCATATTACTCCTGGTATTAGTCTGTTTTCTGTCACTGTAACAAATACCTGAAATAATCAACTTGAAAAGAGAAAAAGGTTATTTTGGCTCAGTTTTGGAGGGTTCAGTCCATCACCAATTGGTTCCATCACTTTTGTACCTGTGGTGGGAGCACATCATTGTGGGAGCTCAGGGTAGAACAAAGCTTCACCTCATGGCTGGGAAACAGAAAAGAAAAAGGCAGAGTCCCATAATCTCCTTTGAGAACCTGCCTCAGTGACCTAAAGACCTCCCACTAGGCCTCACCTCTTAAAGATCCCACCACTTCCCAATGATGCCACCCTGTAGACCAAGTCTTCAACACACTGACCCTTGGGGTGTAGTTAAGATCTAATCTACAGCAATCCCTGATTTTTTAAAAAAAGAATCCTCACACCTCCCCCATTATCCACACCAAACCAAACACACCAACAATCGCAGCTGCTCCAATACATCCTAAACTCTTATTTCTTATTTCTGGACTTGTTTCTACTATTCCTTGTAGATCAGTCCATGTTCTACTGATTAAAGCTGACATCAAATGCCATCTTCTTTTTTTTTAAATTTTTTTATTAGTTGCTCAAAACATTACAATGACCTTGACATATCATACATTTGATTCAAGTGGGTTATGAATTCTTTTTTTCCACGTGTACAGATTGCAGTATCACATTGGTTTTACAGCCACGTTTATACATACAGCCATATTAGTGTCTATTGTATTCTGCTACCCTTCCTATTCCCCCCTCCCCTCCCTTCCCCTCCCATCACCTCTCTCTACCCACTCTATGACACTTTTCTCTCTCTCTCTCTCTCTTTTTCTTCCTCACACCATCTTATATGTAATTTTGCATAACAATGAGGGTCTCCTTCCATTTTCCGTGCGATTCCCCTTCTCGCTCCCATTCCCATGCATCTCTCATCCCTATTTAATGGTGATCTTCTTCTCATGCTCTTCCTCCCTGCTCTGTTTTGAGTCGCCCYCCTTATATCAAASAAGACATTCGGCTCTTGCTCCTTAGGGATTGGCTAGCTTCACTCAGCATAATCTAAATGCCATCTTCTTTATGATGGCTTTTCTAACATACCCAGACTGGAGGTTCTCTTGTTTTCTTGAATCTCCCTGTGGCACTTACATCACCTGGGTCCGTGACTAGGTTAGAACACTTTTGGAAGAAACCTCTAGTGTCTGATTCATCTTCGAAGTCAGTGAAGTTCCAGTATCACAAGTCCTGGCTCTCGCACTTTGTCAAGGTGGGTTTTGACAAAACACACAAGTGTAAAAATAAGGCATGAGTAGGTACAAATTGTACTGACCCTGACTCTAAATAAGAAGGAAGGGAAGTAATAGTGGAGGGTTACAGGAGTGGACATGTGCTCAAGCTGGACTGTGTGTCTGCCAGGAGGTTGTCAGTAACTTAGGCTTCAAGAGTGTCTTCTTAAAGGCTGTTTCCTACTCAGCAGGAGATTACTCATTCTCTATATGTCCTCATATCATAAGTCAGGAACTGATGAAAACAGTTCTAACGCTTCCCCCAAATGTCTCCTGGTTTCCCTAGGAAAAGAATCGCAGCTCTGATGCTCAGAACCTCGTGACAAAATAGTCCATGGAAGGTGTCCACCTGCAAGGTTGGTCTCAGGTACCCCCCGCTCTTTTTTTTTTTTTACTATAAGAGCAAAGAAAATTACTCATTTGGGGCTAATCAGGATGGCAATCCAGAAAAGCCCAGATTCAAGAAATCTTGAGAATGTGCTCTGTTGGCCTCTTCCTGCAGAGGCATTTGTTCAAGATGTAAGCAAAAAGAATAAGAAGAAAAAAATCAAATGTTTCTTGCACAGACATTATGAGAAGCAGAGCCGTAGGTCAGTTGGGGTGGGGTGAGGGGATAGAGGGCCCCAGATTGAGATTGCTGTGTCGGCACCCTGATTTTGTCATTTCCTAGTGGAGCAAGTCCAGTTCCCTGCTGGGTGGGTTGGGGACAGTATCACTCACTGGCTGAGCTCATTAGGGGGCTATGATGAGATAATTCAATAAAAACCTGAGAACAGAGACTGGTGCCTACCCACTAATAAGCTCAGGAGATTCCAGTATCTGAACAGAAACTGTCTCAGGTCTTTCGTTTCTTACCATTGTGTAAACTCAGAAGAAGTGGTAGCTTCTTTAATATAGATGGAGAAACTCGGTTTTAGGGACACAGAAAATAAATAACTCACCCAAGGCCAGGTAGCTAGGAAATGGTAAAGCATGATTTTTTTCTGGTGTCTTGGAAGATAAAGCCCATGTTATTCCCCACTACTTTGTTTGTGAACCCACTCTCTGGCCCCAAGAAAGGCCACTTCCATACAAATTCACGAATATTCCCATCTGACTTAGAGTTTTGTGAGAATTACTAAGGGATAGTTTTATACGTGAATACCTTCTTTTATATTCACAATCTAGCACCAGGTATGCCTTAGAGGAGAAGATTGAAGAAGTAATACTGCAGTGATGAAGAAGAACTTTTAGAAATACCAAGATTACAAAGGGGGACATTGACCCTCTAGCAGGTCATCTCCCTCATCTCAGGCAGCAAGTCCACAGTATCTTGTGCAGTMGCTAAATTTTAACAACTGCACAAGACTTATAAATATACAAGTCTGTGTTCTTGCTGTGCACTGGTCTTAAATAAAATCCCCCATTTTTTTTCCAGTGCTGGGAATTGAATCCAGAGCCTGTACATACTAGTTAATCTTAGACTCCACTGGTCTAGATCCCTTATTCTAATCTGTATTTTTCTGAGCCTAGGGTTTTCATCTACTTTTGACTGAATAAACTCTTGTAAACTGCCTCAAATCTTTTGTAAAATAAGAAGGGGTAGGAATAAYTCAGTGCATTGTACTCAAGGTCACAAACCAGTGTTGAGAAAATACTTGGTCTTCCATGGAAGGATCACTTACTTATGAGCCTGTCACTTATTTGGAAGTCTGTGAACAGTCAGCAGAAGGTTCATGCTCTCAGTTTACAAGGACCCTTCTTATTTGTCAAAAACAGCACAGGCATTAAAGTTTTGGGATGCATAGGAGGTCCCAGGCCTGGGTTTCAGCACTCTGAGAGCTGCATTTGCTATGAGTCCTGAGAGTCCAGGGCTCCAAGCAGCCAGGCCTGTGTCTGTTCCCTTTCTCCTCCCTCACCCTCTCCCCCAGAAGCAGTTTTGTCCCCAGTCACCACAAACCCCAAGGGTTTGCCACAAACCACCTTCCCACCAGAAATACTGGAGTCACTTTCGAGGCCTGGTGGGAACAAATTCACTGGGTGACAGGGGGTGCATTCCAAGACTGTCCTGTCGCCAGGGCCTGGCAGGGAAAGAATGAGGAGGAGTGGTGGTAAGAGGATGCAGACCCCCTCCATGATAAAGCCAGCACTTCAATGCAATGGCAAACAGTGTCAACCTGAATAGTGACAGGACACAGAGGGAAGCTGGTCCCCTGCACAGTTAAATACAGCCTTTGCTGGTACTGAATGAGAAGACCTMTCTGGGCTCAGTCACGTCACGTTTGCCTCCTGATGACTACATGGGCTGGCTGCCTTCCGCCCCACTTGACCACAGAAATTCACCTAGGTCTYACCTCAGGCCAAGGAAGAATTGCTTCAGATCTGTAGAACCTAGATGCTTCCTAGTTTACTTTCTTACTTTTTAATTTTTTTTTCTTTTGTGGTGCTGGGAGTTGAACTCAGGGCCTTGAGCATGCTAAGCAAGTGCTCTACCTCTGTGCTACACCCCAGCCCCTACTTATTTAAAAAGTAAAACTTAAGATGTGAACTCTGGGAGCAAAGGCATCTGAAAAGTTTTTTTGTTTTGTTTTGTTTTGTTTTTAAATCACTCTTCACAATATTCCCTGCCAGGAGGGTGAGATGAGGTTTTTGGCAAGATGTATTATGAGTGAAACCAAGTTTGAGATAATATTGATTTTAAAAATCTGGTGGTTAAAGATTATGTCTGTGGAAAAAGAACAAGTTCCAGGCCTTATGAATAAGGCATAATCCACAATGTAAATTGAGGCATATAAATCTCCTTCAATTTGTTAGAGGTTTCTTGATGCGTCAAAGAAACAGTCCCAAAGTCAACCTGGCGGCACTTGGCTGTTTCCTCCCTTGCATCTTTTGCCAGCCTCTGAAATATAAATTTCRGACCCCCCTTTAGATCCATAGGAATAATTTAGGGCAGCAGTGTGCAAGCCCTAGGTCAGAGATGTTTGTAAAGTAAGTGGAAATACGATCCGCCCTCCACGTCCACAGGTTCATGCCTTCAGATTCAACCAACTGTGGGTTGAAAATATTTGGATAAAACAATTGCATCTGTGTCTATATGGACTTTTTTTCTTGTTATTTTCCTCTAAACAACATAGGATAACAATGATTTACATAGCATTTATATCATAATAGGTATCATAAATAATCTGGAGATGATTTAAATTATGCAGAAGGTTGTGGATAGGTTCCTTGAAAATATTGTGCCACTTTTACATAAGGGACTTGATCATCTGCAGATTCTGGTCTCTATGGAGGGGTCCTGGAACCATCCCCCATGGATACTGAGAGACAATTGTATTCCCTACGTAGTAACCCGCATTCTCACTTTGATGCTGGAATCAAGCTGACCGTGGCCTGGCGGCAACAGTTCAGGAGCTGCTGAGCTCTAGATGAAACAAAGCGGCTTTGTCCCTCGATATTGCAAATAGTGCTAAAATGTCTTGCATAAGCTAAAAATAAAAAAACAACCCGGGTAAGCAGTGCAATCCATCAAGAGGTTTCTTTTCTCCCCCACCCCCCGCTGCCCCCCCCTTTTTTTGCTCTCTCTCTCTCTTTCACATACACACATTCATTATAAAAAAAAAAAAAATCATGTGTGGTTTTCCTAAGGGGCACAACCAACTAATTACAATTTTTAAAGTCCTGCTGAATTAACAAGATTCATATTTTGTTTGCTTTGCAGGAAAACTGCTGCGGTTGCTGCTGCTTTGAGAAGACTTGGAAAAAAACCAGCAGTTCTGATGCCTTGACCCCTATGATGACTGGTGGCTATAGCAGGGGGAGCCCTTGAACTTAAACTTGAACTTGGAGTACCTCTGTGAACATAGAGGGGGCACCAGGCACCCATCCTCAGGGGACTCAGAGAGATCCCCACATCCCATGTAGTGCACGTTGGGAAGATGTTTCTCGGCCTTCTTGAGTTTTTATTTTTATTTTTGGATGTCAGTTACTGGGACAGGAGGTGCATTATGTTTGTTATTTCTCAGATTACTAGAGCAAATGTCTTGAGATTTATTTAAGATTTAAAAACTTGCAGGATGCATTTAGAGGGAGCAAACAGCTTCTAGTAACTAAACAATGCCACTTGAGCGGTGATCATATTTTCAGAAAAAATACTGTTTGGCAGACCCTTGAATACTTCCATTTCTTGTTTTGATTTGTTCCAAAATCGGGTGAAGTCAATGATTAAATAATCTACGTGCTGGCTTTCTTAGAGTTCCGAGGCAAGAGGCAGCAGACATCATATCTTCTATTTACTCTGATGTCTCCCCCCAAGTTCGTGAGTGTCTTCCAAATGGCTGATTCTGTTTTCAAATTGGTGCAGTGTGTTTTTGCAGCACTCTCCCAGCTCTCCTGTGATGCTCAGCTCATCTGCCTGAAGTGCATTAGTCTGGGGAGGCCTTGTGAAAGTTATCTGCTTATGGTTAGTCCTAAAACTACAGCTTTTAGGAAGAAGTTCGACAGTCATGGGGGCTGTCCACGAGAATAGCTGGACTTGTGCTTTCTGCAGAAGGACAGTGCTGGCTTCCTACACTGAAGTGACCAGGAAGTAGCTGTCCACTTTCTGTGTCATCAAACAAATAGCACCTACACAGAATCTCATGGGATTTGGGGATTGTAAAGAAAGCAAATACCAAAGATGAGGGGGCTCTCTCTCTCACTTTTTGGGCATGACCATGATTTCCAGCTGTAATCTTCTTATTCCCAAGTTTGTGAACCATTTCCTGACACTTGTTTCATAAGGGACATAAGTGCTACTGCAGGTGGGACTTAGGGCCCAGAAAGACACTGAGATGTGAACAACAAAACGTGCATATTGTTTTCTTACAAAGGAGAGACAATGCCAAGACCACTGGAGTCCCCTTGCACACCAACACTCTGCTCACCACTCAGCTTGGGGAACTTTCCATATCCAAATAAATGTTGGGTTGAGATACCWTTATTTTTAGCCATAAGTCTTTGTAGGCTTCTGTTGTCACAATCAGAATAACTTGGTGGTCCTATCAGTGAGGRCAGATTTAATTCCCACTGTTCTCCATTCTCTCTCACCTCCACTTAAAGCATCCTTGTAGCACGTCCTTAAATAATTAATGTACAACATTCTTATTGTCATGTTTAAATTAAAGGGGAGGAAGAAGTAGAGGGAAATGTGCAATTCATTGAAGGTCATGTRCTAGGTATAAAACCTACTTCTTTCTAGCCTTCTCTCTAATTATTAAAAAACATTTCTTTTTTCTTTTAGCCTATATATTAATTTAAGGTTGGTTTCTCTTATATTCCTGTTATGTGATTTTGCTTAAAATGTTTTCTTTAAAAAAATAAAAGAAACACAAAGACACACACACACACACACACACACACACAGTCCTGTGACTGCAGTGTTACATTACTGTGCTATGTTTAGCTGATGCTATTCATTGAGTCTGGAAAAATACAAGCCAGAGCATGCATTAATACTCTTAGACCACAGAGACCTGGCACTCACTCAAATGCTAAATAGGACACAAGGGTCTGGTTTGAAACCCCGCGTGGAAGGGCGTTTGTGGTCCTGTGGTCCTGCGGTCCTGTGGCATGAATTCTCTACCAGATTGAGCAGGAGGTCTGTTGCAGGATGTGCATTTTACAATCCAGCTTCCATTCTGACTCACGTTGGCAGATGCACTTTCCCCAGGCCCTGCCACACATGGCAGAGACAGCTCAGGTCAAATACAGGCACGATTTCTTTGCCAAATTAAACCATTCAATGGTCCTGTGGATGTGATTTAAAAAAATTTTTTTTTTAAAATATTTTTTAGTTTTTGAGGTTTAGAAAGGAAACTCTACTTTGAGAATGAATGCTGTTTGAATTTGTAGTTCAATTTCTACGCTTGGATGGGAAGCCATCCTCATGCCAGCAGGGCGCCTTTTATAGGAGAGCTGAGGATAGTCTGCGTTGCAGAGTCGGTGAGTGCAGTCTAGGGTTACCATGATGGGGGGATTATCAGTCTAGTGTTCGTCCTGTCCCTTCACTCCACACCCACGAATGGCTGCTCCAGCGAGAGCCTCTCACATGGTAGATTACTGCTCTGGTGGGGGAAAGGGGGCTTTGCAAAGCCAGGGAATCAAACCAGACACAAGCGTGGACCAGAGAATCCAAGTCTGGCTAGACTGGGGCTATTGTGATCAATTTTTCCAAGAASTCATCAGGATTTGAGAGGCCGTATTTCTCCTCCACCCTCTTAATGGACAATGTGACTTTGCTCTCTCTCATTCCTTTAGCAAATGGAGGAAATTAAGCTCTGCTGTGGCACTTCCCACTGTCTGGAGAGAAATAAACCTACAAGTTATTAAGARGAGAGAGTCCCCACGTTTTGTAATTTGGAAGACATCAAACGCTCACCCAGAGTCTGTTGATATTCAAAAACAGGAGAAAAGATGTCATGCTCCCATTTGTTACATAAAAGAACTTTAGCAGGAACTGTCATCTGAGTTAACTTGGGACAATGATTTCCAGGTTGAAATTGGGTAACGCATATCTCTGTTGAGTCCTGTAGATTTGTTTTTAGTTGCTTTTTTCCYGACTTAATACTAATTTGCTTTTTTTCCTTAAAAAAAAAATGTAAATAGGCATGGCGCTGTTGACATATGGCATATTTGGATGTATGTGTTAAAAGATGTGTGAATAGTTACATTTTCCTCCATTTTATGGAAATTAGTATACTTTTTTTTCTCGTTTTAGAATCAAAATATGGATTTTATGTTAGGAACAGGAATATCTTGTTTTTCATTTTATTCCTTTTTTCCCCCTTCCTGTCCCTGATGCTGCCTCTGCCCTTACCCAGCCATTTGGCGAAGAGTGCCAGTCTGCCTACCTGCACTTGTTTAGTTTGGGCTGTAGACCAGCTCCTTTAGAAAATTCATTTGTAAAATTGTAAGTGACAGGAAGAGGCAGGCAGGGACCTTGGTGGGCTGTGATGGTTAGACTTAGTTCATCTCTGTGGTTCCTGGCAATTCTGCCATCCACAGGGGCTGAAACATGGCTGAGGCTTGCTTCTCAATGTCTCCAATTCTCCCTACTTTGTGTTTGCTTCATCTTCAAATTTTTTCTCTCTTTTACTTAAGTTGAAACCCAAATCCATCTTTTCTATCATGATACACCACTAAGGCCTTTGGTTCATTTATTTATTATTTTTAATTAATTAATTTTAGGAGGGAGGCATTGGAGATCAAACCCAGGGCCTCGTCCATGCTCTACTACTGAACAACAATCCCAGACACCACCACTGCCCAGAACTTTTTGAGATGAAAATTTTATTTCCAAGAGGCAACTGATTCAGATGACTTCCTTGCATAACTTGAAATCTGCAGCTTCTGACAGTAGATGTGTTGTGTATGGCTCCCTGATCCATTTAAGTGAGGCCTGTTTTGTATAATTGGGGCAGTTTCACCTTCCATGAAGACTTATGACCCAATCACAACGCCCATTCAACAGAGCAGAAAACATCTGGGCCCCAGTGTGTGTATTTTGACCAACTGCTGGAGGTCAGTAATTCCTTCTGATGAGGTTTATCCCTGTAGATAAGAACTGAAAATGGATTCATAATGTGCTGATTGCATACATCATGTGTATGTTTTATTTCTGAACATAGGAGCAAGCATTCAACTGTATTTCTTTGCCTTATAAAGATGTACTATAACATGTGTCTGTATTATACTAAAGAACAAACATGGACCTTATTTATTCTTTGTTAATGAGCTAAGTTATTCAATAAAGTAGACTTGTCAAATTCAACACAAATTCTCTCCTTTATGACAGGATCTGACAATGTGACAATTCCCACCACATTAAGAACCCACAGTACCTTAAAAGGAGGCCATAATTATARGGGCTCAGAGGTGTCCACAGGATACCAGCCATCCCTTTGGGGAAATGCAACTGCCYATTTGAAAACATGGTGATTATGATGTATCAACATGGATTCTGAGTTTTTTTCCTATTAATATAAAAATATTGACAGAGATACATGTAAAACATCCAGTGTCAGAACAGTCTGTAGTGAATGATGAAGGCAATTTGAATCTATTCCATCCCTGTAATGTAGCTTAGAGACTATTCCTCAGGYCTTGGCGGCTTTGAAAAACCTACCACAGCAGGATTTCAGTGGGAAGCGGCTGCCCCATCCCAGGCAACAGCGTTCCTTCCTGGGTTCAGCGTCCAGTCTGGAGATGGGACTGTTTAGTTCCCAGGTTCACATGAACCTCAGTGACATCTGGATCCAGGTCAACAGTGACCCAGCAGTGATCAGCTCTCCCAGAGGCAAGAGTCCCTCAACCACCCTGGCTTGAGACAGGCCCACTGGACTTTGTACCACCTCAGTTGCAAGTGGGGATGGAGGGGTTCTTCTTTTATTCTCCTGCAAACAATCCAGTCTCTCCCTTGAACCTCTAGGCAAGGCATTCTGCTTTTGTCTCCAAATGGAGGAAACCTCATTGACTCTCCATATGGATGAAAAAGAGATCTCAGCAGATGGCTCCAACCTTTTCCAGGAACAGATTCTCAACTTAAGACCTGTGACTCAGAGTTGAGAATCATTGTGTTCTTCCCTGGCCCTTCACCTTGCTTCTCTTGGGATAAAGAGGGCTATGACCATTTCCCTTGCCATACCACAAAGGGAGGGCACGGAGACCCTTGCGCCACTTCCCCTCCCCACTGGTAAGTCGGGAAGGGGACACCAACCCCACTTCATGACCCTGATCCATTAGGAGGATGAGTGCTTCCTGGGGCTCCTCCCTCCAGTAACTTTTTCTACCCCTCCTCATATAGAGGTTCCCCAAGAGTTCATAATCTTTTCTCCAGGTATCACTAGATATAAATAGGGTCTCATGAAAGAGACCATTCTGTATTGAGCTGTCTCATGGCCTCAAGTTCAGGGTTTAAGGCCTCTGAGCCCATCAAAGCTCACCTCTAAAATATTCTTACACACTAATAGGAACCATTCTGTTTGGGAGAGAGGCTTTCTTTGGCAGAACACCACTCAAGGGCACCGCCTGACCAACCTCCTCCTTATTCCCCACTCCTCCGCAAGGATGTAGCCACAGAGCATGCCTCCAGAGGCTAGCCCTCAAAGCAGCAGTAAGAAATCCTTCCCAGGCTTCCCATCACACTGACACAACACACACCATCATGAAGAAGAATAAAAAAGAATGGCCGCCTAGGATTAGCCTCATACCTTGTGCTTGAACAAACCCAAGCTAAGGGGACCATATCAGCTATTAGGATCTTCTTGGGAGCTATTCAAACTTGCCAGTARTTAGAGACAAGTGAAGACCATAGATCTCCCCCTAAACCCCATCACTTGTCTGCTAGGTGGTATTTGGCACACTGAGAACAAGGTTCAGGCTGTATTCTGCCTGAACATACAAAACATGGGTAGCAGATACAGCCATAGGTAGACAAACCACTTGTTAGTTTGGTGAAGTCCCAGCTCTCTGGCCTTTTAGGCCCTCTGAAAGTATCTTGCTTGAAAGGTTTGCTCAAGACTGATGTGACATTGTTGGTATTAAGTAAACCATGTGATTCTGATGATAAGCTCTAACTATCTTTTTTTTGGATCAGGTGACAACACCCTCAGAGGACTCAATGGAATTCTAAGGACTAAGAACCACTCTCCACGGACAGGCTCCTGTGCTTGCTAGATTCTTGCATCATTATTTAAGAATGATATTCCATGAGACCAACATGGTGGCGTATGCCCATAATCCCAACTAATCAGGAGACTGAAGCTGGAGGATCTAATGAGCCCAAAATTTGGGGGGCCACCCTGGGCAACATAGCAAGATCATGTGTTCTAAAGAAAGAAAAGGATTATATATATTCTTAGTCTTTTATTAGACTCTAATTCTTCATTTAAGGATGCACATATCTGTACAACAATTCCAGTTTTTGTTCCCTTGGAGTCTTGGGCTGCTCCAAAATACACATCTCACAAAGCCCACAGGCCCGGCTGCACCCCGGAGCCCCTGCCCATGATCTCTATGCCTCTCTGCCCCAGAGCCAGCTGGTGCTCACGAGTCACTGAGGCATTATTAAGGAGGAGCATTTTCTTTCCTTGYACAGTGTGATGGAACATGCCCCTAAAGTGGACATGAGGCAGCAGAGAAGACTCTTGCTTTTCCAGAGGATTCTAGGGCTACGCGCACCAGGGGAATGGCCCTTCTGAGTTTACGTTCCTCTTAAAAGGAAATCCTGCAGTTTTCTGTGGGGAGTTGAACTAGTGATAGACATAACCTTCCTTAAATCGCCATCTGCTGCCCTCTTCTCCTTCCCTCCTCCTCAGTTCTATTGTTGGGGAGCATTAACMGGTACTCACTTCAGAGATCTCCCCAGGTTTTATCATTGGTCTCCTTAGATCCTCTCTTCTTCTCCCCACATTGATGATCATTTTATTTTTAAAATACAAAAAAAAAAGTGATCTAATCGGATCACTTTTAAGGTTAGAAAGTAGTCTGAATTTTTTTTCTTAAATTCTGAGTGTCTTCTTTAAGACCTGGATATATTCACGGGGTTGCTTTTCAAGCTCATTTTCGAGATTTCTCACACACACCCTGGCCTCTAAACCTACAGGGACTATTTCCTAGGTCTCTGGTGATATGGCATCCCCATCCAAGACTGGCCCCCAGATGTGGATCATTTTGGACATTATAGTTTGCCAAAATTTGGATTCGAAGGCCTTTAGAACATTAATARAGGATTCAGACCATCGGCGGTTCCTTTCTCTTTATCATAAGCAGTGCTAGGAAAGGCTCTGAYGAGAGCTTTAGTGCCTTGCTAGGTGGACTTCTCCACAGGGCTGATCACAGGACACCTGGCTTCTCAAAGTCAGTAATCAAAAAGTGAGTAAGAAGAATTTCTCAACAGTAATATTCCCTAATTTCCAAAATGCCCTATTTGATGTGGAAAGGAACTACAAAGGGCAAGATGGATTAGAAAGTGAGAATCATTTGGGCCTATGTTAGAGACAAGACATCCTCTACATTCCCACTGATGCATGTCCCTCCTCGTGCAAGACACACCCACCTGCTCCAGAGTCCCCTCACTCATCCTGTGATGGCATCAGCCCAGAATCAAGAATTTTTATCTTCTGTGTCAAGTCTAATTGTGGATGAGTCTTCCTGAGTGAAGTGCCTTAAGTTTAGTCCCTGGAATATAGTTCTTGATCCAGACACATGTAAACTAAAGGGAAAATCATCCCTCCTCCATCGCAKACACCTATCAGACAATGGTGAACAGGCATAAGACAACCACTAAAAAATAATCATATTCAAAAAGAAGGAAAAGGGAAATACTCAAGATTCACTAGTAAATCTTAAGTTCAKCGGGGCAAACACTGGGATCTCTGTGTCTAGAACGCCTTCCCAAGAGTCATCTCCATGACCTTTGGATCCACCCTCTGGCTCCTGGTTTAATCCCCTTAGTCATTCTAATTCTTCTCCATGAAAGCTAGTCTGTGTGTGCACTAGTGTGGGTCTCTCAGCCTACTTTGAGAATACAAAGGTCTCTTTCCTCTTTCTGCTCTCTCAGGCTGTTTCAGTCCAAGCCGGTGGTGTGTCTGACAATATGAGCCTTTTAGAAACTTCATRGATCTCCTGTGAGTTTTACTGGGATTCACTCCATTAGACAAAGACCAAACCCACAAATCGCTTCCATATAAGTTCTTCTGCCTTGGACAGAGTTARTTGAAAGACAGCACCTTAGACATCTTAGAAGCTTGGTTGTTGGACAAAATGATCCTCTGTCTTGGATATTTCTGAGGTCTTAGCAAAGAATTTTAAAACCTTGATGACTTCATGCTTAGACCCTATTTTCTTCTTCAGAGTGTCTGGGATTTGCTCTTTACTTAGAAGACATTTGTACATTGTAGCATCATCTGTTGACTGGAGAGGTTATAATTTTAAAATTATTTTTTTTAAAGTTCTTCCTTTTGTTTTTCTCTCTTTTCACATTTTATTTTAATCTGCCAGAAGAAACCAGGAAGTATTTTCTGTACTTTCTGGAAATCTCCTTAACTAGATSACATAGTTTATAAGGTAAGCCTTCTACTTTAGCCCAGAATTGCAAGAGACAGTGTTGCTGAGCCTTTTAACTGCTATAAAATATAAATTTTTTTTCTCCATTTTCAAATAAATTTTTCTTCTTTTTCCTTCAAATCCTCATTCACAGCCTCCTCAAAGATTGTTARGATTTCATAGAACACTCTTTGGGGTGCTTCAAGCTTTCACAAACACTCTTCTCAAAATCTTCCTARTCTTTCCACAGCCTGGTTCCAAAGCTTCTTCCACTTTTCAGGGTTCTGCTATGATAGCACTCTACTGAATATAGTACTCCACTGAGTACAGCACTGTACTGAGTACTACCAACTTCTGAAATCACCAGTATAGTAGGCTTGTTTATAATTCTAAAGATTTATACRTCTTCTTCTCTTTGAAATATTTTCCATTAGACAAAGACCAAACCCACAAATYGATTCCATATAAATTCTTCTCCCTTGGACTGAGCAAGTTGAAAGACACCACCTAGGTGTTATCTACCCAATAACACCTAGATCCCACTATCCTTTTAAACCCATGGCAAAGCTCTGATGTCCTTGTCACATCCTCTATGTTTCTTTTATAGTTGTTGTGACATTGTTTTCTAATCTTTTGCTTTTTTCCTAGCTGTCTACCATATAGTGAGTTCCTTGTRTATAGGAATTAGGGTTTTATTTTTGGCATATTTATACTTC